CCCAAAGTATGTCAGTCAAAGTTTCAGAATCCTTGCCTCCAAGGAGCAGCCTGGTTTCACCCTCTCCAGGACAAACCTGTTTGTTTTCCTAGCAGTCCATGGTATAGTCAATACTCTCCTCCAACACCAGAGCTCAAGGACATCAATTCTCTATCATTCCTAGTCACTGTCCAGCTTTCCAATGTATAGCACTCAATTGTGAAGACTATGGCCCGGATCAGGCACACCTTAGTTGCCAACCTGACATTCTAATGGTACTTTCTAAAAATTTTCAGTGTTAACCAATTCTTTTTGGTACAGTGACTCTGTGTATTCCCATCATCTTCTTTTGATGATTCCTGGATCATTCAAGATTTTGCCCATAGTTTTTCTTAATATTGGAACTCGAGGCTTGAATTTGTTTTTCTGTTCTTTCAGTGTGAGAAATACCAAATTCTTCTCTTTTATTCTCTGACTATATCTCTTTGCACATTTTGTTATAATACTTTGCTTTGTCTTCTCTCACTGCCCTTTGAAATCTTCTGTTCAGCTCGTTTACTTCGGCATCTCTTCTTTTTGTTTTGGCTTCTCATCACTAGTGCAATTTGTAGTCTCTCCTGACATCCATTTTTGTTTTTCCTTTCTCTTCTGTCTTTGTAATGACCTTTTCCTCTCTTTATGGATGATATCCTTAATGACATCCCACAGCTACTCTGGTCTTTGATCGTTGGTGTTTAATGCCTCAAACTTGTTCTTGAAATTATTCTTAAATTCAGGTGGGATAGAGTCAAGGTTGTACTTTGGTTCTTTTGGACTAGTTTTAATTTTCTTCAGCTTCAATTTCAATTTGCACATGAGTAATTGATGGCCTGTTCCACAGTCTGTACCTGGCCTGGTTTTGACCGCTGATATTGAGCTTCTCCAATGATGTCACACAGTCACTCTGATTCTTGTGCCGTCCATCTGGTGAGGTCCGTGTGTAAAGTCACATTTTGTGGTGTTTTTTCTAAAGTATTTGCTATGAATGAATCATTGAGTGTACAAAATTCAGCAATTCTATCTCCAGTCTCATTTCTGTTTCCCAGACTGTATTTCCCAACTATTATTCCCTCCTCATTGTTTCCAGATTTGTGTTCCAGTCACCAATGATTATTAAATGCATCTTGATTTGGTCCACTTCAGGCTGCAAAAGTTAGTAGAATCCTCATTTAAAAAAAAAAAAGAATCCTCATTTCCTCTTCCTTGGCTTTAGTTGTTGATGTATATATTTTTGAATAATAGTTGTATTAAAAGATTTTCCTTTTATGCATATGGATAGTATCCTATTATTCACAACATTATAATTTAGGAAATATTTTTAAAACTATTTTCAAGTCTTGACTTTTATCACAAGCAGTTTCTGTTGGATTTTAAGTATTTTTTATTATTAATTAATAAAGTTATTTATGCATTAATAATGTTTTTAGGAATGACAGATGTGGGTGTTTTTTTCTAATCCTCTATATGCTAGCACATACTCTTCATACTTTATTAATTCTTCATAGAATAAATAAAAATTCTTATCATATCTCTGTTTCATATGTTATAAAACTAGGACCTAGAGAAGTAAAGTTAATTACTCAACATTAACTGATGGGGGAGCCAGGGTTCAAATCTACGTGCATTTGACACCAAAGCCTATGCTTTTAACTGCTATGCTGTGTTACTATCACGTCTTCAAATTTGTTGCAAATTTTTTTTGGCTTATTGCTTGCTTTCTTATTTTGCCTACAATAATTTGATGTTCATAAGCATAAAATCATAATTATGTGCAAATAATCTAGTATTTTATATGCAGACATAGATATTTGTCTACCCTGTATGGGTTTTTTGGATGACCCCTAAGTGTGGAATAAGCTGGACAGCGTCTTACTTGCCATCCAGGTAAAACCAGAGTAATAATACTTTTAGTTAGGCCAGTTATACTTAGGATAGATTTTGAGAGCATCTTTTGAACTATGAAGGCAACACCATTCTTCCTCAGTGTTTCATTCCCAGCATAGTTGATCATGTGATGAGCTGATTCAAAGTGGTCCATACCCATCCACCCATCCATTGCAGTTTGCGAAGGTCAATCTTCATGTGTTCCATTTCATTTTTGACAACTTTGACAACTCCCGTTTTCTACGTGCATACTTCCTACATTTCAGGTTCTAATTATTAATGATTTGCTACTGTTTCTTCTCATTTTTCAGTAGCTTCCCATCTGGGCTCTACCTCTAATACTATAACCACCTGCATTCCTCCGTTCACAGGGCCTCAGAAATCCTGTTGATACTATTATTCAGATCCTAGACTGTGATTAGCTGTAGTCTCTTTCCATAGTGCTTGTTGTTAGCTGTTATGGCAGAAACACACTTTCCTGGATGTCTGTATCATATCCCTCCCTGTCTCTTGGTAACACTGTGCTGATATTTGTCACTGAGCCTTCTTCAGAACTTGTCTAGGCTGTGCTGTGTAACACCAAAGTCAGTCTCCATGAATTCCAACTCTGCTATTTTCTTGCTCTCTTATGACTCTATTACTTCTCTAAGTCTTAACTCGCCCATCTATAAAATGGTAATAATACTAGTACTTTCTTTAAAGGAATGCTGAAAAGATTAAATAAGTGCCTGTAGTGTGTCCAGAATGGTGATTAGCATGTTGTAGTCTCTCAAGGAATGCAATCTTATTGCAATTGGTCACTACATTCATTTATAAATTCATTCACTCATTTAGTTCCTTCTTGGATATTTATGAGTACTTAAGCTAAGCCAAGGAAGATTTAGTGGCCTAGTGGACAAGAAGTTGTGCTACTAATGCAAAGGAGGATGGTTCAAATCCATCAGCTGCTCCGATGGAGAAAGATAGGCAACCTTCTGCCAAGTGATTTACAGCCTCTGAAAACTTGCTGAAGGGTCCGTCATGAGTCAAGTTCCAGAATTTGATGGCAGTGAGTGAGTGACTAAGCTACACCCGTGTTCTGTATACAGAAAGCTGTTAAGAGCTGGTGTTGACCCCATGGTGCCTAACTTAACACTCTACACCCTGGTGGCACAAGGGTCAAGTGCATGACTGCTGCACCAGAAGGTCAGCAGTTTGAACTCATGAGTTCACTCTGGAGGAGAAAGGACCTGTCAGTCTATTTCCATGAAGATGACACCATGGTACATCTCAGGAGGCAGTTGCACTCTGCTCCATAACGTCACAATGAATTGGAATCAACTCAACTGCATAACAATGATCTGTTGTTGTTGTTGTTGGGTGCTGTCGAATTGTAGACGACTCATAGCGACCCTATGAACGAAAGGCCTGAGCACTGTTCATAGAGTTTCTGGAGGCAAGCCATTTCGGAAGTGGATGCCACTCCTGCTCCTAGGCTTTTTTTAGTCAGGAAGCTCCAGCAAACACTGTCTGCCATGGGTACCATTACCACGTTTGGCACATCAGTGTCACAGCGTTCAGCATCACAGCAACCAAGAGTTACCTCTGTATAGCAATGCACAGATCAGTGCTATACCACCTAGAAGAATGTTTGACAGAAAAACAATTTGAACCAGGCCTGAGGGCCGCAGATTAAAATCACCCACCTTAGGCTTGGTAGCATAACTTTCTACCCACTAGGCCAACATAGCTCTATGTCGTCATTGTTATTGTTGTAACAACAACAACAATGATCTACACAAGATATTGTGCCAAGGGCAAATGACATAGCGCTTAAGGAGACATGGATGTTGCCTGTGACAAGTGCATCATTTCTAGGAGAAGGATAGACATATGCCCAGATGACTTTAGCCAATGTGCTCTCAGGAAGACATGGCCACAGGGCAGAGATTGGGCAGGAGAGAAGGAATGAGTGGTGCTCAGGATGCAGGAGTGCTTCCTAGAAGACGGGACAATGGAGTTGGCTGGGAGATAGTGAGTTTTTTTAATGGAGACGAAGAACAATAAAGACTCATGTCCTTTACTAAATTACAAACTCTATGAAAATAGTGACTTGAAACAACCACCATTTATTTACTCACAGTTCTGCCATTAGCAATTTGACTTTGGCTCCACTGGCAGTTCTCTGTTGGTCTTATCTCCCAATTAAATGTAGTTCAAGTATATGGGGATATTTTTTGTATCTGTACATTTTTCTTGGAGGAAGTGAAAGCAGATTGCTCCTTAGAGTCAAGGGTGGTGAAACTTGGACTCGTATACTTTGGACATGTTGTCAAGAGGGACCAGTCCTTGGAGAATGATATCATGGTGGGAAAGGTGAAGGGTCAGAGAAACACAAGACCCCCAACAGGACGGATTGACACAGTGACTGTGACAATGGGCTCGATCGTGTCGGAGATGGTGAGGGAGGAGCAGCACGGGGTCAGTCTCAGATCTGTTGTTCACAGGACACTATGAATTGTAAGTTGACTCAAGGGCCCATAACGTCAATTTCTTCTTGAATGAAATATGGCATCTTATACCTTCCAAGGAATTTGTTTATTTCATGTAAGTTGTAGAATTTATTGACAGGTGGTTGTTGATAACATTAATATCATATGCAAGCAAGATTCTGCTGAAAAGTATCCATAAACGACTGGAGCAACACGTCAACAGAGAACTGCCAGATGTGCAGTCTGGATTTAGAAGAGGCTGTGGCCCGGCACTGGCTGAAAATCGCCTGTGACTTCATCCATAGCCATTGGTGAGAGTCAGCGCCCAGAGCCATCAGGGGCTTTAAGCTCGTTGCCCACTGCTGTGGTGTGGACAGCTGGAACCCTGGCCCCGACAGGCACCTGGGGCGGGGGGGAACCCAGACTCTGCTTCATGCTCTGCTGGAGAAGGAGGGGCAGTCTCCTGTACCAGTCAGATCCAATTTGACGGTACACACACACACACACACACACACACACTTTTTCTTCTTTTTTAGAAAAAGACTACTTCAGCCGTCGCGGCCCTCTGCCCGGGGCGGGCTGCCCTCGGCCCTCTGCCTGGGGCAGGCTGCCCTTGGCCCCCTGCACGGGGCGAGCCGTTGCGGCCCTCTGCCCAGGACGGGCTGCCCTCGGCCCCAGGCTCGGTGTGAGCCATCGTGGCCTTCTGCCCGGGGCGGGCTGCACTTGGCCCCTGGCTCGGGGCGAACCGTCGCGGCCCTCAGGAGCAAGAAGGCAAGCAGCTGTAACCCAGGACCACCAGTAAGGTGATAGAGCACCCTCCTTTCCCCCCTTTATATCTGCGCCCCTGTTCAGCATGAAGAAGTCGGAGAGTCGGCATCCAATTCCCAAATCAATAAGACAGTTGGTTTGATTACTATTGGAGAATGCTTGTCGTTCCTCTGTGGCATCTGGTTCCCACTGGACCCTCATTTCCTTCACCTGCTCCCCCCACCAACCAAGCTGTGCAGCTCTGCAGCTGCATCCTGGCCCATCCTCACCCTTCTGCCCCCAACCCTCGCCTCCTTGTACCTCCAATATGTTTTTCCCAATAAAAAAAATATTAAAAAGAAAGAAGAGGCTGTGGCACAAAGGATATTATAGATAATGTTATATGGATCTTGGCAGAAAGCAGAGATTATCAGAGGAATGGCTATCTGTGTTTCGTTGACTATGCAAAGGTTTTTGACTATGTGGATCATAAGAAAATGTGGTTGACTTTGAGAAGAATTGGAATCCAAGAACATTTGATCGTGCTTATGCGAAACCTATACTTGAAACAAGAGGCAGTTGTCAGAACAGAGGAAGGAGACACTGCATGGTTCAAAATTGGGAACGGTGTCTGCCAGGCATGTATTTTGTCTCCAAACTTTTTCGATTTATATGCAGAACAGATCATCCAGAAGGCTGGGCTGTATGAGGAGGAACTTGACATCAGGATTGGAGGAAGATTCATGAACAACCTACGTTATGTGGATTGCACAACCCTGCTTTCAGAAACTGAGGAGCACCTGAAGTGCTTGCTGCAGAAGGTCAAGGACTGCAGCCTTCAACATGAATTGGAGCTCAACATCAAGAAAACAAAGAGTCTCACCACTGGGCCAATTGGCAGCATCATAATGGATGGTGAAGAGATTGAGATTGTTAACAGTTTTAGTTTGCTTGATTCTACAATCAATACTCTTGGTACCAGCAGCCAGGAAATCAAGAGACAATTTGCATTGGGAAAATGAGCTGTCAGGGACCTCTTCAGAGTACTGAAGAGCAATGACGTCAGGCTGGAGACTAAGATGCTTCTGATCCAGGCCATAGTCTTTGTAATTGTGTGCATCAGAGATCTGGATAATGACTAGGGATGATAGAAAGAGAACTGATGCCTTTGAGCTGTGGTGCTGGAGAAGAGTGTTGAATAGACCATGGACTGCTAGGAGAACAAACAGGTTTGTCGTGGAGAGGGTGAAGCCGGGCTGCTCCTTGGAGGCAAGGATTCTGAAGCTTTGTCTGACATACTTTGGGCATGTTGCAAGGAGGGATCAGACCTTGGAGAGGGATATCATCTTTGGGAGGGTGGAGGGACAGTACAAGAGAGGAAGACTCTTGATGAGAGGGATATCGATTCAGTGATTGGAGTAATGGAAGTAGGTATGTCAGAGACAGTGAGATTGACACAGGATAGAGTAGGGTTTAGGGCTCTTATACATAGGGTTGCTATGAGTCGCAAGTGACTCGATGGCACATAACAACAACAACAACAATTATTATCTTTTAGATATCTGCTGTTCTATAGTGGTGCCACTTCTCTCGTTTCTGATTTTAATAATTTACCTTCTCTCTTTTTCTCTGGTCAATCTGGCAAGAAATTGATCCATGTTGTTGATCTCAAAGAACTTGCTTTTAATTGCATTGATTTTCTTTGCTAAAGACTGTGAATGCTGTATTGTACAAATTTTTACTAGCTGTACTTTTAGCTCCACTTTCTAATTCTCCTTTTTATTTCTTCTCTGACCTATAAAAAGTAATTTTTCATTTCTAAGTAGACTATATATATATGAATTTGTTGCCTTGTTATTGAATCTCATTAATTAGGACAGAATATATCTTGAATGATTGGAATTCTTTAAAATTTCTAGAGAGTTGTTTTATCCAGTCTATTTTAGTAAATGATCTGTGGAAATATTCTAGCAATATTAGTTAGGTAAATTGGAATGCAAACATTTCTCAAAACTTCCACATTCTTTCTAATTGCCTTCTATCTGTTTTTGAGAGAAGACTGTTGAAATCTCTGATAATAACTGTGGATTTTTCTATTTCTTCTGTCAAGTCCATACATTTTTTTCTTCATGTAGTTTGAAGTTTTATGTTGTTTTTTTTTAACAGGTGAATAAACATTTCAGATTGTTATGTTGTCTTGATTAGCTGCTCTTTTTAAAATCTTTTATTGCTTTAAAGTATTTGTATGGTGTTAACACAGCCACTCCAGCTTTATTTTTAGGATTGTTATTGTGCTTTGTAGTTTCCTACCCCTGCATTGTATATAGCGGAGCTCTGTGGCCCAGTGGCAGGAAGCTGTGCTGCAAACCTGGAGACGTGTGATTCGCATCCACCAGCTGCTTCGTGAAAGAAGGATGAACGATCTCCTCCCATAAGATTAACTGCTTCTGAAAACCACTGGAGGGTCAGCTCTGGGTTGGTTCTGACTTGATGGCACACAAGAACAACAACAATAAAATACGCTTACTGTCTGTAGAGCTCTTGTGGACTAGTGGTGAGATTCTGTGTTGCAATCCCGAAGGCATGTGGTTCCAATCCACCAGCCGCTCTGTGGGAGAAGGATGGGCAATCTCCTCCCATGAGATTTACTGCCTCTAAAACTCTTCAGGAGGTTCAGCTCCATGTACATTCTATGTAACAGAAAATTTAAGGTTTTAACTCTCTGTCAACGATTGTTGATCTAACACCATTGTTTTAAGGTGTCATTCTTCTTTCTTGCCAATCAAGCTCCAGGTCTGTCTGGGCGTCCAGCACTCATGTGCTCAGACTGACCTCAGAAGGATGAATATTGATTGATCCAAACCCGTTATGACAGTTCTAACCCCTCTGCCAATGACTGAGATGGAAGTGGATTTCTGACCCAGTCTGGTCAATAGGATGTAAGGGAAGAACATTCATGTACAGCCTCCTAACAATATGCTTTTTGATGACAGGGAGTGTGTACCTTCAGTTTGTACTGTCTGCGAGGCTCCTGACACAATGCCCCAAACATGGGAGACACTGAATAATGAGTATCTTCAGTGCAGATGAATCAGTTAGGAAGCCTTTAAATACAATATACATGACTCAAAGGGCTGTCAACAATGAGAACACGCTTTATCTCACTTAACAGTCTGGAAGTAGGCAATTTGGGGGTTTGCTGTCAAGTCAGCTACAACTCACAGAGAGTCTATTTACAACAGAGCAGAGTGACAAAAAGACCCAGTCCTGTGCCAGTTGTGACGTGAGGGCACACATCTACAACAACTTCCTTAGTATATAGCGCTCTGGTGGCCTCGTGGTAAGAAGTTGTACTTTCAATCCTAAGGCACAAGGTTAGAATCTTCCAGCTTCTGGGGAGAAAGATGTGAAATCTCCTCCCACGTGATTCAAAGTCTCTGAAAACCTGCTTCAAGGTTAGCTATGAGTCGGTTCTGACTTGACGGTACACAATAAAGTACTGTGTATAAGGGAACTCTGGTGGCCTAGTGGTAAGGAGTTGTGCTGCAAACCCAAAGGCATGTGGTTTGAATTCACCAGCTGCTCCCAGGGAGAAAGATGGCCAGGCTCCTCTCATGTAATTAACAGGCTCTGAAAATCTGCTGGAGGGTCAGCTATGAGTTGCTTCCAACAGCACAAAACAACAACAATACTACACAGAGTTGACTCTTACTTTTTCTTTTTTAATCTGATCTAACCATATTTTTCTTTTAACTGAACTTAGATAATTTACATTTAGTGGAACCATTAATATATTGGATTTAAATCTGCTATCTTGTTATTTGATTTTTAGGACGTTGGCCCTGTCTGTAGTCTGTTTCTCTTTTCATCCTCTACGAATCTTTTTGATTAAATCTTTTTCTTTTTTCCTATTACATTTTTACCTACTTTGTTGGCTTGCTAGCTAGAATGCCGAGTTCTTTTTTGTGTTAGTAGTTGCTTTAGATTTATGGTCTATATCCTTAATTTGTCACATCCTAGCTTCAAACGATAACACATCACCTTTGTCTTATCCTATTGGCCAAGGGGAGCCCAAGGGATGGGAAGGCAATCCCACCTCTTGGTGAGAAAGAATGACAGAGTTCCAACAAGAGAGTCATTCTTACAGAGCTGGAAGACACTATTGTGGTCGTCTTTGCAAATATTCTGCCTGAGTCATTATTCATTGAGCTAATAATATGCATGAAGGAGTCCCTGGGTGGTGTAAATGAACGATGACTTAACTACTAACTAAAAGACTGGCCATTGTACCTGCCCAGGGGCATCTGCCACGAAGCCTTGGTTCCACCTGGTTCCGAAAGAGCCCAGGCTTGAGCAGAGTTCTACTCTGTAAACTCTGAGGTCACTATGAGCTGGAATTGACTCAACTGCAGTGGAGCACACGCCAGAGGCACTTTACCCTCGTGAAATGTTATTAGGGTGACTACATCTAGTAGAGTCATAAAGACCCTGTGAACAACAGATCGGACTCTTGCCCTGACTTGTGCCAGGTACCTCACGACTTAGGTTCCAGTTCAGCCTCTGCATAGAAATCAGAAAGAGTAGGGAAAGAAAGGTTAAGTAGCTTGCCCAAGTTTGTACAGTTAGGAAGTGGTGGAGCTGGGCTTTGAACTGAGATAGATGAAACAGCCTATCAGAGATCTTGATCTCCTCCTAATAATATGCTTTTTGATGACAGGGAGTGTGTACCTTCAGCCCTGTCTGCGAGGCTCCTGACACAATGCCCCAAAAATGGGAGACACTGAACAATGAGTATCTTCAGTGCAGATGAATCAGTTAGGAAGCCTTTAAATAATAGTATACGTGACTGAAAGGGCTTTCGATAATCAGAACACGCTTTATCTCACTTAACAGTCTGGAAGTAGGCAATTTTTGGAGTTTGCTGTCGAGTCAGCTACAACTCACAGAGAGCGCATTTACAACAGAGCAAAGTGACAGAAAGACCCAGTCCTGTGTCAAGGCCATTTAGGGCTGGTTAGTCAATGTCATATTAAAGTCAGAGCACTGGGTCATCCTGTTCTAGTCTCAGAGAAGGACCATCACAGCTCCAGACATCATTCTTACAGGACCTTACTTAAAAAAAAAATAGCAAGGCTTCCAAGAAACTGCACTGTAGCCCCAGAGGTGAGCAGTTCAAATTCACCAGATGCCCTGCTGGAGAAGTAGGGACAATCTCCTCCTGTACCAGTCAGATCCGATTTTACAGTAGACACAAAAAGAATAAAAAATAAATTTTTTTTAAAAGCAAGACTTCTTTTCATTAAGCTTCTGTAACAGGAAGGAAACAGTTTTCCTTAAAACCTGTCAACAAACTTCCCTTACATCCTCTTGTCCAGACTGGGTCAGAAGTCCACGTCCAGCTCAGTCACTGGCAGAGGGGTTAGAACTGTCATGACGGGTTGACATCAATCAGGATTCATCCTTCTGAGCTCGGTCTGAGCACATGAGTGCTGGACGCCCTGACAGAACCAGGGCTTGATTGGCAAGGAAGAAGTCTGACACCTTAGAACAATGGTGTCAGATCTAAGCGTTGCCAGAGAATTCGAACTTTACATTTTCTACTACATAGTTCCCTGTGATCTCGCACAAACAACACGGGGCTGTCAGTACCTGTCTTATCTTGTGTGACTACAATGGAACTGTCCTAAGTGGATTTAATTTAACAAACAAATGTATTCTCTTAGTTCAGGTGGTTAGACGATCACATTCGGGGAAGGTGTTCACTCTGTGTAGGGTCTTGTCTTTGATGAGGATATGACATGACATCCTTCTCTCTCCTCATCTCTGCTTACTTGCTTAATCTCTTTTGTATTGCAAATGACATTGACTTCAAACACACCCTACACTAATACTGTCTCACTAACATAACAACAACAACAAAATCCATTCCCAAAATAGAGCTCTAACTACTTTGTTGCCAGGCGCTGTCAAGTTGACTCACAGTGACCCTTTGAACGGGTCCAAACCTTTGACCCTTTGAACAGATCCAAACCTTGCCCTGCCCTGCGCCGTCCTCACAATCTCCTCCACACTCGGTCCATGTTCAGTCCTTGTGTCAATCCACTTCGCTGAGCATCTGTCTTTCTTTCTCAGACCCTCTACTTTTCCAAGCATCATGTCTTTCTCAAAGGAATGGTCCTTTCAATCTTATCTAAATAGTAGTGGTTTTCAGGTGCCTTGAGCCCTTTACGACTCACAGTGACTCTATTGATAACAGATCAGAACCTGGTCCTCTCCTGCACCGTCCACACCATCTCTGATACCCTTGAGCCCACTCCTACAGTCACTGTCTGAATCCATCTTTTAGGGGTCTTCCTCTCCTCTTCTGACCCCCCCACCTTTCCCAGCATGATGTTGTTTTCCAAGGACTGGCCTCTCCTGACAGCATGCTCCAAGTATGTGAGATGAAGTTTCACCATCCTTGTTTCTAAAGGAGCACCCTGGCGGCAGGTCCTCCAGGACAGGCCAGTTTGTCCTTCTGGCAGTCCATGGGATGTGGACTCCTTCTCTAACCCCTCTAACACCACAACTCAAAGGCTTCGGTTCTTCTTCTGCCATCCTTCTTTGATCAGATAAACAGTACTGTCAAATGGGATTAGTGATTTTGATGACAGGAAATCTACAGGGTGATGTTAAGGGACCAAGAATGAGGATCCAGCAGAATGTGTGTGTGAAGCGGAGGCTGGGTCAGTAGGACAGAGATGGGGGTGGGGTGGGGCAGGCTGGTGCACAGACCCTCCTGAGCTGCTAGAGGGAGAAGCAGCACAAAGATGGGGGAGCCCCAGAGGGAGAGGCTGGGTCACCACCACTCCACCACCCTGCTTGGTCCAGAAAGGGGTCACTTGGCTCTGTGAGGTAGGACCCCATTGTGCTAGGGGCTGATGTTTCAATGCAAAATAGAAAAAATGGAGTGCTATTGAGTTGACCTTGCCCCATGGTGACCCCATATGTGTCAGAGAAGACCTGGGCTCCATAGGGAGTTGTTGTTGTTGTTGTTGTTGACGTGTGCCGTCAAGTCGCCTGTGACTCAGCAGCTCTGAAGCCTGTCCTGTCCTGAGCCAGTCTCACTGCCTCTGACACATCTACACTTATTACCCAAGTCACTGTATCAATCCATCTCATCTGGGGTCTTCCTCTCCTGCACTGTCCCTCCACCCTTCTGAGCATGAAGTCGTTCTCTCAGGATTGGTCCCTCCTGATCACGTGCACAAAGCATGTGAGACACAGTTTATTTTTCAGAAGAAGAGCAAGCCTTTCCTCTAGGTGGATTCAAACCTGCAATCTTTGTGTTACCACTCAAGCACGTCAACCATCTGTGCTACCAAGGACAGCTTATGAGAGAGTTTTCCTAAATTAAATTGCAGCTTATCTGCTTGCTTTTGCATTTGGAGCCGTTCAGGGCAGCCCATCCCTTTGAACACTGGAACTTGGGGTCCACGCCTCCCACATCCCTCCTTCCCTCAGCACATGACCGAGTCTCTCTTCCACCACCTCGAGTGAAACAAGAATCAGGGAGCTGTGTGTGTGTGTGATCTCTTACTCTTTAATGTTTATTTAAATGTAGGGATGTGAATGCTGTGGCAATGCCTCCCGTCCACAGTGGCCAGAAGGAGGAGCAAGGATGTCCCAGCTGCAGGCCAGGGGTCGGCCAGCAGCCTGGAATGTCTTCTCCTATGTCCACTTGTAGACCGTCCTCGCCTGCAGCATTGAAGGGCGATGGGGAGGAGTCAGGCTTGAGCCCCACGGAGCAGGCAGCCTTGGGAGAGGTGACCAGGAACGTGCAAAGTCATATGCCAACTGGTCCCTCTCACAGGACGTGTGGGAGGAGGCTGGTGTGGGCTGGACACGGGAGTTCTGCTTCCAGGCAGTCTCGAGGGATGGAGTGGGCTTCCCAGGCTGGACTGCGTGGACGGGGAGCTCACTCCGCGGGCTCGCCCCCTGCTCCGTGTTACCCAAGTTTGTACAGAGGCCGCTGGCCCTTCACTCAGTCACGTCGATAGACAGCATGGCCTTGATCGCTGGGAACTTGTTGCAGGAGAAGTCGGCGAGCAGCTGCTTGGTGCCGCTCCGGGTGGGCAGGATCTCAAAACGGACCCGGGAGCGCTCCTTGGGACGCAGGGTTGGCACGCTGAGGGGAAACGGTGCAAGTCAGTGTTTGCTGATTCTCAGATGTAAGATTAGAAATAACGGCAAACTATTGAACATCAGCTACTGAAAATTCTCTAGGTCACAGTGGTCACAGCTCTGCAGCCCAGTTCAGGGAAGATGCAGGGCTGACAGCATGCCATTCTGTCTGGGGTTGTCACGAGCTGACTCAAAAACAACAACAACGACAACGACAATGCCAAAACAGACCTTGGGCCATACAGGCCTTTCATGGCCTTGAGTCCTGATCTGGTGAAGACCAGCCAAGGTCATTGCTCTTCCTCCCTTCATCTACCTCCCCAGGGTCCCTCCAGTCCTCTGACAGCAGTAGTAGTGGGTCCCATCATGTCCCCAGTATGCAAAGTACTGAGGACCAGGTCTTAGGTCTGGTGGCTTGGGGTTCCATGAGTGAATCTTTGAAGAACCCCCACCCAGGCAAATGTGGGTGCTGAAGAGCACCAGTTCTGAGGTCCACGGCCCCAGAAGGGTGCTAACCCAAGACTAGATGTGACTCATTGGCCAGGTCTGTCCCCTCCTGCCCCCTCCAGGGACTCAGGCCTGGACTCACTCGATCTTGAGGTTGCCCCGTAGCAGGCCGCTTCCCTCCACCATTAGCACACAGTTCTTCACAGGCTCATCCAGGGGGTTGGAGAAGAGCATTTGGACATTCACGGGCTTCTTCACCCGCGCTTGGTCCAGCACCTGTGGAGAGGGGGCTGTGGGTCAGGACGCTGGCCCCCTGCTCGGCCAGCCACCCAGCCGGAGCAGAAGAGAGTCCCTGTTTCCAAGGACAGCCTGGCCCTGCAGCAGGGCACCAAGCAGTGGGGTGTATCTTGTACCAAATTGACTGTTACTTTCTTAGAGTCTCCAACCTGTTGGTCCTGCTTCTTCCTGGAGCCTCGGACCTCTTTCCCTGTGAGGCCCTACAGGTGTTGAAGGCGAGTGGCCACAAGCCCTTGGACACACAGGGAGGCTGGCTCAGCAGCCTTGGTGCCTCTGCTCTTTTGTACAGAACATGGGGGGGTTGGTCCACTCTCTCCTCACACTGGTCTACTAGTGTCCTTCTCAACCGGAGCCTTGAGGTAACCAGTGTGGTCTGAACAGAGTCCCATAGTACACTGCTTTTCATCAAGGAAGGCAGAGCCTGAGCTTGGGGATAGAACACATCCTGGGCTACTTCACTCTGAAAGAATGAAGCTTTTGTGTTTCTGCCAAAGACACCTATGACTCTGGGCCTTAACTTGCTCATCTGATAAATGGGGATCATCCTAGTAGCTGGACTAGCAAGGACTCAGGCGAGAGAGGATTTTAAAACCAGAAATGGAAATTGCGGGGCTGATGTAGTTTTTTGAACGTCACTGGAGGTTGCTACTTTGCGTTCACTTGGTTTTTATCTTTATTGTCACTGATTGTCACAGCAGCCATGTCACGGTGACACTGCAGGGTGGCCTGAATGGGTAACTTGGCCAAATTCATGTTCTAGTAAGTGACCAAGCCCCGCTGACTCCAGAGTCTCTTTACCAGACCCCGCAATGCCTACCGGTTATTTGTGGCTAATTACAGCATTCTGGTGACAACGATCTATGCTGTAATTGCTAACTGGAACTCACTAAAGTGTGTGACATAATCTTAAAGGTGAAGTATAATTTTATTGGGCTACAACAAAGCTACATAAGCTGTGTCATTCCCCCTCCCCTTGAGATTTCTCAGGATGTTGGTTTGCTTTTCTTTTCTTAAGCAGATGTTTATCACTCTGTCCTGTTGGCTCTGCTTTGTATATGCAGCCAAGGGAGCTGAGGGCTGCCTGAAAATTGTGTCTGAGAGACACTGGCTCGTGGATATCACCTTGCAGAGCAACATGCAGATTTTTTTGGTCTGATTCTACGTGCTCCTAAAAGCAGAGGGTCAGTGAAAGAGAGTAAGACCCTCAATAAGACAGATTGAGACAAAAACTACCATGGGGGACTTGAACATGACAGAGATCTTGAGGCTGGCACAGGACAGGGCAAGGCTCAGATCTGTTGATCACAGGGTTGCTGTGAATCATAATCAACTTGACAACATCTAGTAACAACCATGTCCGGTGTTCTCAGTGCTAATTGCTGGTTGGTGCTAATGAGGTTTCATAACTTTAGCAAAATTGTTCTCTTTTTATGTGGCTCACCTTTGGGGTTTAGGAATTTGTTCCCTGAGAGAGCTGGGCTTTGATTGGTCCATTCGAGGCGAGGGTGTTTTGCTTCTCTGAAGATTTAGAAAGGGGAGAATGAGTTTGGAGGAAACTCACACAAGACACCCGAATGAAGGAAGATTTGGCGCCTTTTGGAAAGACTAAATAAGAATGATCTTGAGGCTGCATCAAGATGAGAATGTGCTTGAGGGTCTACAATGTGTGGATTTTAATTTCCCTTTTAAAGATGTTATGGTAATCTTAAAGATAGACTTGATATGGAAGTTAAAATGATACAGAACAAAAAAGCTGAGCAAAGAGAGAGAAAGCTATGAGAAGTTCCAGGGTCCTGGATAAAGGTGGATAGTAAGCAACTGCTCACCCATCCAATATCATTTAAGGGGATCTCTGGTGGTGTACAGGGAGATGTATTGCTAATGCAAAGGCAGTGTTTCTTTGGCGGTTCGAATCCACCAGCAACTCCAAGGGATCAAGTTGGACAGTCTCCTCCCTTGTGACCTACAGACTCCCAAGCCCCTTGGAGGGCCAGCTTTGAGTTGGTTTTGACTTGGTGACAGTGAACTTGAGTATAGCTGGGACCTAGTGTGAGGGGTCAGGAAATCTGTCCTTGAGGATATGGCATTTGATATAAAAGATTAGGAAGAGAGGCTATCTAGGTGGAAATGGGAAGAGAAATTCAGACAGGGGGAACAGTATATGCAGAATCCAACGGAAACTTTCAGAAATACCAAAGTGACGTATGTGAAGTCAAGTGCAAGAGATGTGAGAACTATGACAGCCACAGAGAACCAGCGAAGGACTTTAAATAGCAAAGAACAGGACCAGATCTGAGTTTCAATTGTCGCTTGTAAAGATGTCTCCGCCTGCAACATGGAAGAATATGGCAAATTCTCTCCCTTTTCAAGCTGAGTTTAGAGGATGGGGAGGTCAGGTAATAGAAGAACGGCACTGGTGGGACCACAGGGTCAGGATCTGATTGCTGTTGTGTCTAAGTGAGTCCTGTATGCAATTCTCAAAGAAGAGATAATTTTTGCAAATTAGATTTGTTTAGTATTTCCTAAGGTAATTGCTTTGAAAATGCTCCACGTACGAGTCCTTGACTAGACATGAATGCTCCTAGTATTACACTGAATTCATCCCTCAAAACTTTCCTCAGATGTCCTTCCTCTGCTAGGTCTTTCCTGAAATGCAATCTCTCCAGTTCTCCTTTGCCTTATTTACTCTAGATCGTGAAGAGGGCTCTAAACACTACTGGAGAAGATTAAAGACTACAGCCTTCGAAAGAATTATAGCTCAACATGAAGGAAACAAAACACATCCCACTGGGCCAAGAAACAACTTCATGATAAAAAGAAGAAAGATTAAAACAACTATGAGATTTCACCTCATCCCAGTAAGAATAGCAAAATTCAACAGAGTAGAAAATAGCAAATGCTGGTGAGGTTGTGGAGAAACCGGAACGCTTATTGACTGTTGGTGGGAGTGTAAAATGGTACAACCTCTACGGAACGCAGTATGGCACTTTCTCAAAAAGTTGCAAATAGAAATACCATTTGACCCAGCAATTCTACTACTGGGAATACACCCTAAAGAAACCAGAACTGCCACCCAAAGAGATATATGCACAGCCATGTTTATTGCTGTTTGTTCACAATAGCAAAGACTTGGAAACAACCCAAGTGCTCATGAACTTGGATAGAGAAACAGTGGAATATCCACACAATGGAGTATTATGCAGCACTGAAAAACAAAGAACTCATGAAATATTCTAAAAAACGGGTGACACTGGAGGACATTATGCGGAGTGAAATATCTCAGTCACAAAAAGACAAGTACTGCATAATGCCACTGTTATAAAACGAGACTGACATGGAGGTTGGGAGGAAACTAAGAAAACAGGGGATAAATAATGTGTATGGCATTGAAACAAATGAACTGTAGAAAAGGAAAATATGATTAGGTATTATTGGCATGACAAGAGTCCAAAATAAGAGCTGCATAGTAAAGTGGTCCAGGGGAGTAGAGGGAGCCTGTATAACAGTGTGTAACTATTTTCCCAAAGAAAAAAGGGAACTGAGGGAGTGGCATGGAGGAATATGTGCAACAATGAATGAATGAATAAATGGAAATCACTATAAACTTTCATTAAAATCTCAATAAAAAATAAAAAAGAGGAAAGATTTAAGTTATCAAGGATTTCATTGTATTTGGATCCACAATCAAATGACATACCCTATTGGGCAAATCTGCTGTAAAGGAATTCTTGGAAGTGTTAAAAGTAAAGATGTCACTTTGAGGGCTGAGGTGCACCTGATCCAAGATATGGGCTTTCCATTCACCTTATGTGCATATGGAAACACGGGCAATGAATAAAGAAGACTGAAGAATTGATGCCTTTGAGTAGGGATGTTGGTGAAGAGCCTGAAATGTATCCTGCACTATCAGAAAAATGAACACATTTGTCTTGAGAGAAGAGCATCAAAGATATTCTTTAGAAGTGATGATGACAAAATTTGTCTCATATCTACTGGACATGTTATCAGAATGGGCCAGTCTCTGGAGAGGGCATTATTATGCTTGGTAAAATTGAGGGTCTACAACAAAGACGAAGACCTTCTAAGAGATGGATAGACATAGTGACAGACAGCGACAATGAAGTCAAGCATGGCAACAATTGTGAAGATGGTGCAGGAATTGTCAGGGCTTTGCTGTGTTGTATATAGGGTCACTGTGCATTAGAACTGACTGGACAGCACATAATGATGCATTACCAAACTCCTATTCATCCTACAAAACCTTCCTCAAATGTCCCTCCTCAAGCAAGATCTTTCCTGGATTGCTCTCACTACCATATTTTAGCAGAGAAAGGATGTCTCCCAGCAAATATTTTGGTTTTCTAAAGTATTTTTCTTCAGTGAATTTCTGAGTGTAGCTTGTAAAAAAGCAGCTCTTAAAAAAAATAAAAAGCAAACCAGAAGCCAGGTTACTACCACCTCTAAGTGGATGTTGTAATCCCCTCTGAGACTCTCATAATAATCCTGAACCTAATTGTCCTCCTCTTCAAAAGCTCCATTGGCTGTCTGTCCAGTCCTCTGTCAGCACATCACAGTCTATCAGTTTAATTACCCTGCAGGGAAGGTTTATCATCCTGTGACAGAACTAGAACATCTGAGACTCAGAGACGCAGGGACTCACTTTGTGTTCCCACTGGGACGGGGGAAGGCCAGGATGGAAGACTGGTCTGCTTGGCTACCTGGCCTCAAGTCTGAACTGCTGTCACCCTTTGCTTCTTTCCAAACAGTGGTCCAGTCACTGCCTCCCTTGTTCTTACTTGTTGTTAGGTGCCATCGGGTTGACGCCAATTCATAGTAATGCTATGGACAACAGATCTGCGCCTTGCCCTATCCTGTGCCATCTTCATGGTTTCTGATATGCTCGAGCTTGTGGCTACATTCACTGTGTCTTAAGCACAGCTCAAACCTGTCAGGGAGGTGCAGAGGCCCCACCAAGTGCTTGCTACCGGGGAGATCTGGGAGTCCTCCCCCAAGGAACTGTCTGGGCTGAGTCTCCTTGGTTCCCATGGCCTCTGACTAAAGTCAGGGAGCTCTGCAGTGAGGGTGCAGCTTCAGGAAGGGTGGGGCTGGGGTAGCCACAATGATCTGTCTCCTTTGAGGATTGGGCCTTGGGGTGCTGGTGCATGAAAGGGAGATCTTGGTCACAGTCTAGACAGCTGGGCAGATGACAGACACAGCTGACATGGAGGTGTCCACTGTGGGAATCCATGAGCAAGACTCTGTCCTCTTGGCCATCATCTGCCTGTCACCTGTCCCTCGGGGACTCCTCAGTTGTGCTGTCTCACTCAGGCACTCCCTACATCTCTGTGGGGCCTATAGGCAGAGCAAGTCCTTCAAAAGCAGAATAAGAGGGGGTCCTTACTCCCCCAGGGCAGTGACACATTCTGAGGAGGCTTTTGCTGGGTTGTGACATTTGGCAGGAAGACTAGGCTAGGCGTCCAGCCTGACGTGTGGGCTCGCTCAGGCAGTAACCGGTTCATCCCTCTGTCCTGGGGCCTCTGTTTACTCATGTGAGAAAGGACAGGGCAGGGGAGCGTGGGACGGGGCTTCCAAGAGTTAGGGTCAGCCACTCTGGGGTCCAGAGGGTGAAGAGGTGCTTGCAAATAGCATCTCTTCCTGGCCTATGACATATGTGTGTCAGAGGGACTGGGCAGGGGCCCAGGAGAGGACATGTCAGCTCCTGGGGGCAGGACCCACAGCTGTGTCTCTCTGTGACTTCAGAGTGGGCACAGGGCCTGATAAAGCAGGTGCTTAACCCTCAAGACCATCAGTGAGATGGATTGATACAGTGACTGGAGTAATGAGGGTAAATGTGTCAGAAACAGTAAAGTCGGCACAGGATAGAGCAGGTTTCAGGGCTGTTGTACATAGGGTCACTATGAGTCACAAGCGACTTAATGGAACGTAACAACAACAACAACAACAACAACAGCCCTCAGGACAGGGGAATGTGCTGTAGAGGGTCCAGGCAGTTTCTCTGGTGGGTCTACTAGAAGCTGCCAGCTCATCTAGGGAGATAAGTCAAGGCTGAGGGTACTGACCAGGACGGATGCCCTTGACTTGTCTGGGTGGCAGAGGCTGGACCAGAACGGCCTCTGCCAGTGTGAGGGTGTCTTATGAGGTGACTGGCACAGCTCACAGGTGAACCTCTCCACCACCCCTGCCCCACAGCTGGGCCTCACCTCCAGGGTCAGGGCGGGGTTGTCCAGGATGACATCCCGCCCCACCACCACCTCTCCCTCATCGGAGACCTTGCACACGGCCGTGATGCGGATCATGTTGTCGGCTTTCAGGTACTTCTCGTACTGAGCGTAAGAGATCTTCACAGGGTACTGCGTTTCTGGAGGGAGACACAAGGGAGCAGTGTGAGAGGGGCTGGCCCAGTCCTGAAACCTGCAAAGGCTGATGGGAGCTCAGTAAGGGGAACTGGCCAGGAGGACCTGCAAGGCTGGGCTGGGCCGGCCTGTCTGTGGGCCAGGCTCGGTGGGAGCAGAGCAGACCTCTGCCCTGCGCAGCCTCCAGGCGGCATCAGGGTTGACCAGGCCTTTGTTCCAATGGGCAGATTCCCCAAAAGGTGGGTTTGCAGAGACAGGAGGTCCCACCACTTCTTCCCCCACCTACGATATGTCAGAGGCCAAGTTTCCCTCTGAGGGACAAGGGAAGAATACAGACACTGACTTTATTTGTAACAGCGATCGTATTAATAAAAGCAGCAGCAGTGACTGGACAGGACGCCAGGATCTTTCCAGGTTATCGAATAAGTTGATTCTATTGCAACAGCATCCAAATTGCCTCCCCACCTTGCATTTCTCCTTTCCCAAAAGGGTCTATGCTCCCCCACTCTGCTTCAGAACATGAATTTTTTTTTTCCTTCTTTTTTTCTTCTGAAATCACATCAGCTCAAAAGCTCCCTCAGTTCCTTGCTGCCTTTGGAATAAGATTCAGAACCTCTGCACCGTGCCCTGCAGCCCCTGAGCCCAGATCACCTCACCCTTAGGAGAAGCCTCCGCCCTTCTCAGCATTTCATAGGTGAAGCAGGCATGTTGTCAGCACCACGTGATAACTCTCCTGACTCCCACGGACAGAGACGCCTGACCTGACCTCTCTCGGTTTACCTGGTCCATTCCCAAGCTCCAAGGTCCTTCCTCTGACATCATAGGCCCTGGGGCCTCCTCCTTCTCAGATGGCAGAGGTGTTAAAACCCACGTTAATAACATGTTGCAGGTTAGCTGGTTTCTCTCAATCATGTTACTGCCTCCTCTCCCTCATGCTGTCCTGCATTTGCTGGGGCTCCCGAGGTGTCATATACACTTTTAGTCACACTGTCTGCGGAGTTCTGGTGGCCCAGTCCATAGGGAGTTATGTGGCTACCCCAATAGTGGGGTGCCTCTCTGGTGGTTCCCCCCAGTTGATCTGTGGGAGAAAGATGGACAATCTCCTCATGAGTGTAAATGAGACAAAGCTATTATTAGGAGAAGCTATTCCTCAGAAAGGGACATCATGCTTGGAAAGGTGGAGGGTCAGTGAACGAAAGGAAAATCCTTAGCAAGATGGATTGATACAGTGACTGCAGCAATGGGCCCAAGTGTGTCAAAGGTAATAAGGATGGGACAGAAGAGGACAGGGTTCAGATCTTTTGTTCACAGGGTCATACGAGTCATATGGTCCTTAATGGCACCTAACACAGTAAAAATTCCTCCTGTACAATGTACAGCGTCTTGAAAACTCACTGGAGTGTGAGCTGTGATTGGTTCTGACTTTACAGCCCTGAAAGAGAGTGGGTGGGTGGAAGGGGGAGCTGCCATTTGCTTCTCCCATTCAGGAGAATTTGTCAGGCTGCCCAAAATGTGGACAGCGGGCTCTGGTGCGCTGGCCCCACCCTCTCAGGAAGTGAATCAAAGGCTCCAGAAGAGGAAGGGACTGAGGTGGGATCACAGCTCGGAGACCCTCAAACTGCTTCACCTGCTCCTGCCCAAGTGTGTTTTCTTAACCACTGCCCCGCCAGCAATTATTCCTGGCCTATGAAACGGCTCCTCTGTGGGGCTTCAGAGGTAAATAACAGCCAGGCAGGCCCTTCTGGCGGTGAGAAGATTTCTGCTGGAATCCTGCCAGCAGACAGATTGCAGGGGGAATGCACCTCTCCTCTGACAGGTGGAACTTGCCTCTTTTTCTTTGCAGACAGAATCCTTTAAGATGGGCTGGCTAATTAATCAGTTTTTATTAGTTCCATATGCAAAACAAATAATCACCCCGCCCTTATTAAGCTGCTGTGCAAGTGTCCAAACTTCCTAACAGCTTGAAGGATTTGGCCAGTGTGGGCACACCTGCATGCTAAGCCTTCTAGAGCTTTCTCTGCTCCACTTCACTTCCCAGGGACAAGAAGTCACTCTTCCTCTCAAATGCTCAGACTCCTGAGAAAGCTCAGATCCCTGAGAAAGCTCATCCCTCTTGTCAGAAGCCTAGGCAGCTTTGGGGAGGGGGGTAGAAATAGGGCACAGGTTCAGGAGCTGTGGGATGTTGCACCCCTTCCAGGGTCGGGCCTGAATAGAGGATGGTTGTGGGGAGATGAGGTGGCAGGTGGTGGGAAGTTCTTTGAGGTGAATGACAGCAAAGCCACATTGAAAGGAAAGGGACAGCATTGGCATCAGGACAGCAGAGCCCAAGGCCTCACCATTGCTATCTGTGACTAGTGACATTGACCTTAAGCAACTAACTCTCTTGCTAACCTTCAGTTTCTGCCTCTGTCAAATGTGAGTGGCACAGTTTCACATCAGCTGCTAACCTAACCTAATGACTGTGGGTTCGAACCCACCCAGCAGCTCCTCCGAGGAAAGACCTGGTGAATGGCTTCCATAAAGAAGTTATCTGTGGAGGAGTTCTACCCTGTGACCCACGGGGCTGCCTGCAATAGGAACTGACTTGATGGCAACAGGTAAGATGGGGTAATGGGCCTTTGTCAGGAGGTCAAATGAGGCAGCCGCACAGGAAGAGCATTGCAAGCCGGGAAGTGGCATACACTTGTTCGGTTACTGGTCGCCAATGCCTCGCCCCTTCCAGGGTGTAGAAGGAGTCTGGTTGGCACCACCCTGAGTTTTGATCTGTGGGTGACAGCACCTCCCAAATCATCAAGCCCAAGGCTTAACCCAAGCTGACTGCTGACTTGCCTGGAGCCCAGTGCAAGTGCTCCAGCCCAAGGAAACATCAAGTATTCTTGTTGGGGTGCACAGGGCCCCCACTAACTACAGCATGAATTACCTTCTTCAGGGTCCAGGGCTATGGTGCTAGAGTCCTTCCACACCTCATGCACCAGCGTGCCGTTGTAGACGATGGTCCAGGCCGTCATGTGCACAGTCACTGTCTTCATGTCACTTGTCAGGTTTTTCAGCAGCAGGGACAGGTTGACTTCCTGGCCCACTGCCAGGATGCCATTGACCTTGAACTTCCCAGAGATGCTGGGTGCCCGGTCCTCTCCCTCGGAGCTCTCTGCTGAGGTTGGGTTGAACAAGCGGTTGGGTTTGAGTTTCCCCAAAGCCTTTTCGAACACTTGTCTTTCCTGGGCGGAACCTGAGTGGCGGGAAGAGAGAGGACCATTTCAGGACAATGTGGTGACACCTGGACAGAGGGCTTAGTGCCACCCAGAAAGCAACTGGGATTAGCAGTGTCTCTGTTTCTATAGGGACAGCACCACCTATGAGCTCTGGAGGCCAAGTGGTTAAGGAGCTCACTGGCTATCTAAAGGCAGGCAGTTCGAGTCCACCAGCGTCCCATGGCAAAAAGATGGGCCAGTTTCGCCTCGGTGATTTACAGCCTCTGAAAACCCACTGGAGACTATGAGTTAGTTGTAACTCGATGACAATGAGCTGTTTAGTGTTTAATCAAGTGGTCTGGGAGTATTAGGAAGCTGGAAGGAAAGCATGGTCAGGACCAATTCAAGGCTCCCACGTGGCCCAGTGATTTGCTTAATATGTCAATTAGGCTAGAATTTGTTGTTTCTTTGGCAAAAAGGTCATCCATGAGACTCAAAGAACAAACAGAATTTTAAAATAAAATTGCTGTTGTTGTGTACTGTCAAACTGACCCATAGCTGACCCTCGGTGGGTTTTCAGAAGCAGTTAATCACATGGGAGGAGATTGCCCATTCTTCTCCCACGGAGCAGCTGGTGGCCTCAAACCAAGTGCCTTTGGGATTGCAGCACAGCCTCTTGCTACTAGGTCACCAGAGCTCCCTTAAAATAAGATTAGAGCTGTTAAAAATTTTAGAATAGACCAAAAAGTTTAGACTTAGTCCACAGGCAAAAAACTCAAAGTGACCATTTCAGGGTTGATTTCCTTTTCCAAAAAGCCCTTCCACTCGTTTGTGCCATTCTAATTTGTCTCTAAAGTCACCATGAGAGTCACCAGTGGCCCTTTTGTCTGTGTCAGCTGACGAGATCTTCCCAGGGTTAGTATGGCTCCCGAGTTATAATTAGTGCAAATTATTGAGAAACGTCAGTTTTCACATGAGGGCTGAATTAAAGGGCAGGTTTTCTGCCGTGACTAAGGTGCTGGTGCCCATGAAGGCGGTGGCGTAAACAGCCCACAGAAAGGGCTCAGGCTGTGCCCTGAAGCTCCTGGCTTCGTGGCACCGAGCTGAGTAACTGAAGGGCAGGTCTGAATCAGCAGTTCACACACAGCCCCTGTCATGACCTGGAGACCGAGTCAAGGTCAAGGGAAAAGGCTGACTTTCCAGGAATGAAAGATGATCGTTTTATACCCACACACCTCACTAATGTCCCCACCTTATGGTGCCTCTGCTTATAAGGCCCCAGATAAGCTACTACAAGCACCTGACAACTTAGCTAGTCCTTGCTCATAAGGTGTGAGCAACACTGGCAGTGACATTGACTGCCAATCCACCCAAGTCCTTCAAGACTGAATTAAGGCCTTAAGAGAACTGGTCCAGGCCACTCTGGGGATGAGAGAGAGGCAGACAGGGGATCAGCCCCTAGTTGCCCAGACCTTAAATCTCAGGCTCCTCCCACAACACCCTTCTGACAAAGAGGCTTGTCCATTACCAGAGCTGACAGTTCCTGGTGGGCTGCGTCTTTCCATTCCCGCTCTCTCTCGTCAGTCCACACCCAGAGCAGGTGTCTGTGCAGAAGCAGCTGAGCCTTCCCTGCCCAGGATCTCAGAGCAGGTATGTTTGCACAATGAGGCTCCGAGCCCGGAGCCCAGACACCTATGTAGGTCACCTGCCGGGCTTACTCAACACGCCACTTCCTGCTCCTGTTTTTCCCTCTGGAGCTGCTGTTGCAGGGAGCGCTTAGCAACACATTTTATGAGCTCCTCCTCCCTCAGGTGCTCCGAGACAAGTTGGTATCAGGAGGTAAGGCGTGCCAGACCACAGTGGGCAAGGTGCTCGGCCTTCCTGTCATGCCAAGGCTGGAGCACTGTCAAGAGTCCTGCAGGGTCCCCCAACTTGGCTATGGCCATCATAGCCTGGACTGCTTGACTGGCACAGGCTGAGCCCTCAGGAGGCAGGATCAAGGGGGGAGAGAGACCCAGGACGCAGACCACACTCTGCAACAGTCACCTTGGGAACCATTATTCCAGTGAGGCTGCAGATGTGCGAACTGATAAGTTATCACTAAGTATTAGGTCTGCACTGTGTACCAGGTGCTGTACTTGGTTGGCACTTTGTACACAATTGTCACCAAGTTGATTCTGATTCACAAGGACCCCTTGTGTGTGAGAGTACAGTCATGCTCAATAGGGCTTTTGGTGGCAGATTTTTCAGAAGCAATTGCCAGTCCTGTCTTCCTAGGTGTCTCTGGATACATTTATTCATGCAAATGTGACTCCAGACAGGTGCTGCTAGTCTCATTTTGCAGGTGATCAGAGACAGTAAGAAACCTCCTTGAGGTCACTCAGTTGAAAGTGCTGAGAGGGGCGTTTAACCTTTCCTAGGCTATTTGTTTGCTAGGAACCCTGGTGGCATTGCATGCAGCATGCTGGGCTGCTAACTGCAAGGTTGGCGGTTTGAATCCGCAAGCTGCTCCTCAGGAGGAAGATGGGGAGTCTCTTTCCATCAAGGCATACAGCCTCAGAAACCTGATGGAGTGTCACTGTACGTCAGATGGACGATATTTTGGTTTGGAGCCCTGAGCTTGTCTGTACATCACATAGCTGTTGAAGGTATTTTCTTCCCACTCTCCCGGAGCCCGGGGTCCTTGAGGACAGAGGGCCAGTTTGCATCACTCTCCACTGCAGGCCCCAGGCCAGCAGAGAGCTGTGCGTCCAGGGTCTGCTTGACTGAGAGAAGGCCTGCCTGACGTCAACCTCGGCACAGGCTACAGAGCCCTATGGGGGCTGCCAATCTCCCTCCCCAGGGCCATGCTGTAAACGTCAGCGATGCCCCTCCTGGCTCGGAAAGGCCACTCACCTAACTGGGACCTGACTCTTTGCCTGACTTTGCTCTTTGATAAGATACAACTGAGGTCACAAGCTGGCCAGGCCTCATGGCTGGCTGTGGGCACCTGGTTGTGGCCTTTCCCTGGCCTGGTGAGGACTGGCAGAGTTAACCATTTCACAGCACTTACACTCCCACTCACTCATTGCCGTCGAGTTGGGACCGAGTCAGCACTGACCCTCCAGTGGGTTTTCTGAGTCTGTAAATCACACAGGAGGAGATTGTCCATCTTCTCCCCATGGAACGGCCAGTGGATTCGAACCACCAGAGAGGGGGCACCTTTGGGCTAGCAACACAACTCCCCACAGACTAGGCCCTGGCAGTTTTTCTAAGCATTTCAGAGAGAGTGAAATGTTGGCCAGATGACAGACTGGCTGGAGCCTGCGAGAGAGAGCTGGTGATCACAATAAGTTATAAAAAGAAACTTTCCCCTCAAATGCAGAACTTTTGTTGCCACTAAGATAAAAATATGGAGCTGTGGTGGTGTAGTGCATGATGCATTGGGCTATAACCCAAAAGATCAGCAGTTCAAATCCGCCAGAGGGAAAGAAAGACAATCACCTCCAGTAAAATACAGACAAATTAAAAACCCAGTCACTGAGCCAGAGCCCACTTGATGACAGCGGCTTTGGTTTGAAATAAAGACACCTCCTGGCTCTGATGAAAGGCTTGGAAAAGGAGCAGCTGGTGTCTCTGGGTAAAGGCAGGCCTGTGGGCACCACTCGTCCTGGGGGGTTCCTCAAATAAAACCAAGATGATGTCAGAGGTTCCAGGGAGCTGGGCCGCTCGCTGCCTTGTGGCAGTGTCATGCCTCATCTGGCCTCTTGCAAAGCCTTTGAGGTCCATTACAGGTGAGGTCTAGGGGCGTCTTTGTTTATTTCTCATTTTGGTTGATGTTTCCTGCCTAAGGTCCCTCACAAAAAGCCAACTTTCAACCTAAGTGTTGGAGGACAAACTCCAGCACTGAAGGAATCTGTAGAGACTTTAACAAAGAAAATTGTGTGGCCACTTCTGCTCTTGTCACTCACGGGGTCACCAGGAATTGGAACCAACATGGTGGCGACAGGTTGGTTTTGGTTTGGCCTGAGTTTCCCAGAGGCTGTGGGGGCAGCAGGCTTAGGTAGAAACGTCTCCTGGAAAGTCTCTGTGGCCTCCTGTGGGCGCAAAGTTTCTCCCCATGAGGCGGGGTCATGGCGCTGTCACACCAGCTGTTCAGGGTGGGGAGGGAGCCAGCTGGCAATGGGACCTGCACCCTGAAGCGCATTTCCACCTGCAGACATCTGTCCCCGTGGGAAGCAGTGTGGGGAACTGGGCATCAGGCACTGGGAGTTGTCCTCCTGTCCCTGCAGAACTGGCCGAGGGCTCAGGAGACCTGGAGGAGGCCGGTGCTCTCGCCACCCACCTGTCCAGAGTGGGACTCCCCTACCTTCTGGGTACTTGTATTTCTCCGTGACGTCCATGCGCGAGTTGCTGCCCACGGCCTTGGTGCTGATGTACTTGCCCACAGAGCGTGGGTCGGAGGAATTCTTCTTCTGAGAGTTGGTTCTGCTGTCAATGATCCAGGTGATGCGGTCAGCATTCACCTCGGCAAAGACGAAGGGCATGTCGAACTCCTGGTCCAAGTCACCCTCGCGGACTCCGATCACTGAGGCAGGGCCGCACTGGAACACCCCTGGTGGGTAGAAGGCACACTGAGAACCGCCTGCTCCTGCTAAGGGCCTTCCAAGACCACCCCGGCCACCCTGCCTCTATCCCATCCCAAATCTGACCAGTGACCCCCACTTCTTTGGTGCTTGGCAGAGACTCTCCAGGGCTATTGCTTCCTGCAACAGCATCCTGGCCAAACTCCCATCTCGCACTGGGGAGTGGACGACCCATCTCGCACTTTTGAGGGTTGGATGACATCCACGCTGACCGACTGCCTGAAGCCTGTATCCCAACAAGGGAAGGCATCCTACTCCACCCTCAGCCGGCTGCCTCTTTTCTCTCCAGGTTATGTTCTCCTACAAGGCTCATCCCTCCAGGGAGACTTCCCTGAACCGTCAGCCCCCCAGAATCTCTTGCTCCCCCAGCTCTGACCATCTCCCTCCCCTAGCAGCTCAGATAGGTGGTTTCATACATGAAATGCTCAGCTTAAAAAACAAAAGAGGAGGGATGCAGAAGAAAATGAATTATGATCTCATCTGTGTTTACTTTTCTCTCTCTCTCTCTCCAGGACTTTTCATTTTGATTTCCCTCCAAGACCCTCAGAAGGACATCTTGATATTGTGACACATATATGAACATTTTTATACTATTTGATATGAACATTTTTGAAATATATATACAAAAACATATATGCAAATTTACACTTTGATATTGTAACACTTTTATGAATGCTTTCCTATTGTGACATATTATTTAGAGAGCTCTCCTGGCCTGATGGAAGGAGTTGCCAACCCTAAGACAGGTGGTTTGAATTCACTGACTGCTTTGAAAGACAAAGATGGGCAATCTCCGCCTGTGGGGTAGATAGCCTCTTAAAACCAACTGGAGGGTCAGTTGTGAGTCAGTTCCAACTTGATGGCACACAACAACAACAACAACAACAACACTTACCCTTACTGTGTGCAATACTTCCTGATCTTTTCTTTCCTCTTTTAAACATTGTCTACCTTTTCTTGTTTTATTTCTCAAAAGATGGCCATAACTCTCTGACTTGATTTTATAACCATTTAACAGGTATAGTTTTAGTTTTTTTAAAATGTTATTTTATATTGGTTTGCTTACAAAGTTTGTATACCTTGTTTCACACTATTCTTCATTCACATTCTGTTTCATACAACCATTCCTATGCATTATATTTTATAAAATTAATCATTATTGGACTATGCCCATCATTAGTTTTAGCTTTTTAAGAGTAAGTGTCACCAAAAAGTTCACACAACAGTGGCCTAGGAAACATCTGAAAAGTTGCACTCCCTCAAAAGCCTAGAGACCTGGAAAGCTTTTTTTCCGGTTGAAAGATGAGGGGGTGGATGGAAATAGTAATTGCTAATCTTTTTAGGACCATTTGGATATTTTAAAAACCATGGGCATAGATTACTTTTATGATCACTCTTTTTAAGTTTGAAAGAAATAGTTCCACATGAAAGGGACAGAGAGAATGGACTTTAGAAGTCAGAGGAGACAAGGGTCAAGGCATCCGAGAGGCCAGGGGTGGGAGACGAGAGCCTGGAGCACAGGCCAGGCCCCAGGGAAAGCTCAGCTCAGCAGAAGAACCACTGGGCCATGAGAAGGAGACAGAGAGTGGGAGGCCCGGCTGGCCATGGAAGGCCATGAGAAGGAGACAGAGAGTGGGAGGCTTGAGCTGAGTCAAGGGATCTGGCTAAATCCCAAAGGTAATGGAGGATCGGAGGCCTCTGTGCTGAAGGGACAGGTTTCTAGTGGTGGTTCAGGAACAGCATTGCTGGCAGTGAGTGGCCTTTCCCCTGGCTGCCTGGCACATGCCAGGGCTGCCGCCTCCACAGTGCAGGCCTGGCAGCCAACGTGGGCACTTGTTTCAGTAGCAACTTGAGCCAAACAAAAATAGAAGGGGGAATCTCCCTTGAAAATATTTTGTCTTAATCCCACGTGCATTCCAGGAGTCTCCTGGATCTCTGCGTGTGACACAGGACAAACCCAGAGAAGGCGCAGCAGCCGGTGGACAGCGGGCTTACCTTGGCTCCGCTCCTGAGGAGTGGCGTCCAGCACCTGCCATCCGCTGTACATGGGGCCCAGGTCCGATCGGGTAAACCAGCCTTCATTCCAGACGTGGAAGTTCCTGAAGACAGAAGCACAGATTGAAAAGCCTGTCCACAACCACACGGTGGTGAGCAGCCAACAGCACACCTCTGACCTGATCGTCCAGCGGCTTGATGCTCATGTCTGGCCCAGCCTTTGTAAGCATTGTCTCATTTAAGACCTCATAGTGCAAAACAACTACAAGGTATCATCTAACTGTGGTAACAATAGCAAAGTTCAACAAAGCAACAAACAACAAATGCTAATGAGGTTGGGGAGAGATTGGGAGCCTTATTCGCTGCTGGTAGGAGTGTAAAATGGTGCAACCACTATGGATGGCAGTTTGGTGCTTCCTCAAAAAGTTGAAATAAAATTACCATTTGACCCAGCAATTCCACTACCAGGAAAATATCCTAAAGAAAACAGAGATGTCACCTAAACAGACATATGCACACTGCTGTGTTATTCAATAGCAAAGAGATGGAAACAACCCAAGAGCCCATCAACAAAAGAATGGATAGAAAAACTATGGTATATCCACACAGTAGAATACTATGCAGCACTGGAAAAACAAGGAACTCAAAATATTAGACAACATGGGTGACCCTTGAGGACATTATGCTGAGTGAATATCTTGGCCACAAAAGGACAAACACTGTACAACACCACTGTTAGAAAATAGGGCTGACATGGGATTTGGTGGCAGAAAATGGAAAGCAAAGAAAAAGATGGGATAAATAATGAACACTGCATTGGAACAGCTGAAGCAAAGAACTGTTTAAAAGGAATATATGATGAGGCATTATTTGTATGACAACAGTTCAGAATAAGAGGTGCATAGCAAAGTGGACTGGGGGATGGGTGGAGGCAGGGAGGAAATTATGCAACAATGAATGAATTTTTTTTTTAAGTGAATAGGGGGAGGATAGGGAGGAAAATACAACAGTGAAGGAATGAAAAATCCAACTTTTCTGTAAAGTTTTGTTAAAATCACAATTAAGAGGAAAAAAAGGGGGGGAGAGGGGAAGACCTCATAGCACAATGAGATAGAGACCATTTTTATCCCCAGTTTAGAGAAGCGGAAATTTAGAAAGGTAAAGCAGCTAACAGTGGCAGCTACTTTTTTTTTTAAAATAAAATTTATCTTTTAAACTGGATTATTTACAAAGTTTGTATGCATTGATTTTTCACACTGGATCTTCCTCATTTCCTTTAACCACCCCTCCCTCTACCCATCAAATTGTGTAACCCTGTGATTACACCCCTTTCCCCCCCCCCCCCAGTCCCCCACTCCTCCCCCAGGCCCCACCTATCCTCATCCCTCCTCCCTCATGCCCCTCCTTGGATCCTCATACAAGCTCTACAATAATGGTCTTATACAGGTGAAAAGTTTTTTACTTCAAAGCCTCAGCCTTCCACCGCTGGGCTTTCCTGCCACTGTGAGAAGGGATACTTGTGGGTTTGATACAGTTGCCTGGAAGGCATCCGGCCCTCACTTCTCCATCCACGGAGGAGAGTCTGTGTAGGGTGCAGCTGGAGTGACAGGTCTGGAGGAGACTCTCAGACTAAACATTTTCTGTCTTTTCTTTCCCTTCCCATGCCATCTTGTTTTATTTCTTAAAAGGATGGCCGTAACTCACAAACTTGAGTTTATAACCACTTATTGGGTGTAGTTTTGGCTTTTTCAAAGCGAGATTCACCAAAAAGCCTGAAAAGCAGTAGCCTAGAAACATCTGAAAAGTTGTACTCCATCAAAACCCTAGTAACCTAGTAGTAGTAAGCTTTGCTTCTGGTTGATAGATAAGGGGTTGAGGGAAATAATAATTGTTAATCTTTTTAGAATGGTGGAGTCAGGATTGAGAATTATCTCTCCTAGCCCTCAAAGTAAATGCTCTGGGATTCCCCTTCTTCTCAGTGTCAGCCATAAGTTGTTATGATCCACACAAATGCCTTTGCCTAGTCAAGAAAGCATAAATACACATTCTTCTGGAATTCTTTACTTGCAGCCAAGATCCATCTGACATTAGCAATGATATCTGATGCCATGGCCTCTTCTAATTCTGGCAGTTCCCTTTCTATGTACTGTTCTAGCCATCTTTGAATGTTCTTCAGCAGTATTTTCTTGCATGTGATATTAGTGATATTGTTCGATAGTTTCCACATTCAGTTGAATCACCTTTCTTGGGAATGGGAACAAATATTAATTGTTTTAATTAATTAATTATGCCCATGCAGAATCTATACCTGGACCAGGAGGCGGCTGTGCGAGCTGAGTAAATTATTTGAGAAGCTGGACTTTGTGAAGAGGAGTGTGGCATCAGGATTGGAGGGACACTCATTAATAACTTGTGATATGCAGACGACACAACCTTGCGTGCTGAAAGTGAGCAGGGCTTAAAAGCACTGTTGCAGAAAATCAAGGAATGTAGCCATCAGTATAGATTGTGTCTCAATAGCAAGAAAAAAAGATTCTTACTACTAGACCTATAGACAACATCATGATGGATGGAGAGATTGAAACTGTCAACAGCTTCATCTTGCATGGATCCACTATTAACACCTTTATACCAGCAATGAGGAAATAAGGAGACACATTGAACTGGGAAAATCTGCAGTTAGGAAACTCTCCAAATTATTGAGGTGTAATGATGTCACTTTGAGGACTAAGGTGTGTCTGATTCAGGCCACGGTCTTTCCGACTACTTGCTATGCATCTGAGAGCTGGACAACGAATAAGAACGACAGAAGAACTGACACCTTTGAGCTATGGTATTGGAGAAGAGCACTGAACATTCCATGGGCAGCCAAGAGAACAAACAGATATGTCTTGGAGAGGATGCAGCTGGAGTGTTCTTTGGAGACAAGAATGATGAGGCTTCACCTCACATAGACCTCACATACAACTCATATACTTTGGGGATGTTGCTAAGAGGGACTATTCCTTGGAGAAGGACATAATGTTGGGAAGGGTGGAGGGTCAGAGAAGAAGAGGAAAACCCTTGGCCAGGTGGATTGACCTGGTGTCTGCTGCAATGGGCTTTTGTGTGTCAGGAAGTGTTAGGATGGCACAGGTTAGAGCAGGGTTCAGATATTTTGTTCATAGGGTCGCTATGTTATTGTTGTCGTTATGTGCCGTCGAGTCGCTTGCGACTCATAGGGACCCTATGTACAACAGCCCTAAACCCTGCTCTATCCTGTGCCAATCGCACTGCCTCCGACTCACCCATTCCGATTACCCCAGTCACTGAATCAATCCACCTCATAGAGGGCTTTCCCCTTCTGTGCCGTCCCTCCACCCTCCCAAGCCTGATGTCCCTCTCCAAGGACCTGTCCCTCCTTACAACATGTCCAAAGTATGTCAGATGAAGCCTCAGAATCCTTGCCTCCAATGAGCAGCCTGGTTTAACCCTCTCTAGGATGAATCTGTTTGTTTTCTTGGCAGTCCAGGGTACATTCAATACTTTTCTCCAGCACCACAGCTCAAAGGCATCAATTCTCCTTCTATCCTCCTTAGTCATTACCCAACTCTCTGATGCATAACAAGTGATTGCAAGGACCAGAGCCTGTATCAGACACACCATAGTCTCCAGAGTGACACCATTGCTCTTCAGTACCTTGGAGAGGTCCCTGACAGCAAACTTCGCCATCCATCCTGATGCTGCCAATTGGTCCAGTGGTGAGAATCTCTGTCTTCTTGACATTGAGCCTCAATTCATACTGAAGGCTGCAGTCCTTGACCCTCTGCAGCAAGCATTTCAGGTCCTCCTCAGTTTCAGCAAGCAGGGTTGTGTCATCTGCATAACTGTATGAAAAGGAACTGGCAGACACGGAAGAATTTAATGAAATCACATATGAGCAAGAGCCTATGGTGATGAAGGAAGAAGTTCAAGCTGCTTTGAAGGAAATAGCAAAAATAAGGCCCCAGGAATAGATGGTATACCAATTGACATATTTCAGCTCACAGATGCTGCCCTGGATGTGCTCACCAAGTTGTGCCAAGAAATCTGGAGAACAACCACTTGGTCAACTGACTGGAAGAGATCTATATTTGCTTCCATTCCAAAGAAGAGTGACCCAACAGAGTTTGGAAACTCTAAAACGATATCATTGATTTCACATGCAAGCAAGATTCTACTGAAGATTATCCAAAAACTACTGGAACAGCATATCAGGGTCGCTATGAGTCATACTTAATTTAATGGCACCTAACAACAACAACAGCCCTCAAATTAAGGGAGCTCTGGTGGCCTAGAGATAAGAATCTGTGCTGTAATCCTAAAGGCAAGTGGTTCAAATCCAACAGCTGCTCTGAGGAACAGGGATGGGCAATCTCCTCCAGTGCAATTAATTTCCTCTGAAAACCCCCTGGAGGGTGAGCTATGGGTTGGTTCTGACTCACCGGAATATAATAACAATAATTACAGTCCTCAACTGGAGCTCTGCTGGCTTAGTGGTAAGGAGTGGTGCTGCCAACACAAAGGCAGGCAGTTCAAATCCTTCCACTGCTTTACAGGAGAAAGGTGGACAGCCTCTTTCCATGCAGTTTATAGCCTCTGAAAACCTACTGGAGGGTCTGCTATGATTTGGTTCTGACTCAGTGGCTCCTAGTATCGATAATGACAGTCCTCAAATGGGAGCCTCGGGTGATGTAATCTGTGGAAGTTGTGCTGCTAGCCCAAACTCTGGAGGTTCAAATCCCCCAATGGCTCTGCAAAATAAAGACGAGCAATCTTCCTTCTCCCATGCAGTTCACAGCCTCACACACCCACTGGAGGGTCAGCTGGGTGTTGGTGAAGGCTCCACAGCATCGAGCCCGAGTCCTCACACGCCCTTCGTCCACGGCATTGCTATTCGTCGTGTCTGCTGTCGACAGTTGTCTTCTCTCCTCTCCTGCTCTCGTGAGCAACAGCCAATCAGCCCAAATCAGACTCATTCCATCCCTTGATTATGCCTCCTTTTAATCCTCTCCCCTTCCACTTCGGCTACATTAATAGCAGCTTTGGCAGTTTTTGGTTTGACTTGAAGAAAATATGAGATCAA